TCAGAGCTGAAACCTTGAGAAAAAGGCAGACTACTTGATGGGATCATTTAAACCCCTAGAACCAACCAGGCCTAAAGCTAGATGTGCCCTCTTGATCACGGCCGCTTGATGGCTCAGTGTCATTACTTTCTGGCTTAAGTTAGTTGGACTTGATGTTTTATACCATACTATCGTACGAGGCATCGTACAAATGGTTGGACACCCACAACACTCTTGAGATGTGTCCCACACAGAGGATAATTTTTGTCCTTCACTGAATAAGTTCACAACATCTTTGACAATGCATCACTGGCACCTTGGAATGTCCTAAAAACACTTCATGGAAGCACAGATCTTTCACATACTTGAAAGGCACCAATACACCACAGTCTTCGATTTTGTTAAAATTCTAGTGCACTGTCATAGGCATTTCAGATTGGCTCAGGCCTAAGGTACAGCCAGCCCATGGCTGCATTCTAAGAGTGGCATCACAGCTCATTTGTAAAGATAAATGCTCTCAGCTATATCAAAACTCAGAGGTTAGAGTATCTCAATTTCTCCCTAAAAGCTAATTATGGGCCTCATTATTCAAAACTACTTCTAGGCCAGTATCTGCCAAAGCATGTTTACAAAAGAGTAATTTGTGAGATGGGATGGCAGGGACTCTCTCTCTCTTGCAGGTCCCCCAGCTGTCTATCTAGAACCTGGCATAGTAGCTAGCACCTTGCAGGCATATAATAAATATTGAACAGATAATGCATGATTTAATGGGAATTTTTAGGAGAAAGTTGTCTACGGTCATATGTGGAACCACTACCTATAACTGTGCATGTTTATCAGAAGAGTACATGGCCAAGGCGAGTGAGGACCGAATCCAGGCAGCGTTTTGTCAGACTTTACCTGAGAACCTCTCAGTCCTGTCAGTTGTACATCTTTAAAGTGGTGGATAATATAACATATACCTTAAATTCTATGTAACTAGACAATTTTTCCTCCTTATAATTTCAAAAGAAACATAGAACTCAATAGCTTGCTTTTCAGGGGTGGAGGCTACAGAGGGGAAGGATAATGGAGGGAAGAGGTATTATCAGCCATTCTTTTTCTAAGTAATGAGGCTCTTCCTGGCAGGGTTTCGGGAGAAATTCCACTTTATTGCATTTACCTGACAATGGCTTTTTTAACACTTCTATCAGATATGATGGCAAAATAATGTACCGTAGTTCTCACAACCTAAGATAGAGAAGCTTGTTCCCTTCACTCCATCACCTCACCCTTGGCAGTATTTGATTTTTCTCCCTCCTTCCTTGACTTTCCTGGGGAAGGGCTGTCGGTGTGTTCTTCAAGCGTCCCCTTTCTGATACAATGGCGTCTGATGGGCTGTTGCTTTTCTTTCTTGAAACAATTCATAAAACCGTACTTTGGAAGATAATACTCTCTGTTCCCTTCATTTTTTCATCTGAAAATGCAAGCACCTTCCTTCCAAAGAAAAAACAGTGTCCTGAGATCAGATCATTGTGATCTTTTCAATAGGCAATTATGGTAAAGCGTCATACAAGGTCCTTAGAAGAAAGTACCAAGAAAATGGGAAAAAATCTTTCCCTACATAGATTACAATATAGTCTCATAGGTCAAAAGAGTTTAACCAAAAAATAAAGGCATGTAATGGCAAGCATTATCTGTAGTACTTCAGACGTAGCCAAGGAAGTAATCAAGGAGCTGAGTTCATGAGCTAATCAGTCATTGAGAAACTATCCGTTTATGTAATCTTAATTTCCAATATCTATATGGGACCACCCAAAATTCTCTATGTCTATGCTCTTATTCATTCCTTACCCTTATTGTATTTAACTCAGCATCTGGTAGAGAGTAGAAGCAGACCCTGACAGCTTGATTTCATAACCTCCTCCATCAGTTAGTTATTTCCAGCAAGATCAGCCAATGAGAGGCATTGATGAGAATTTGGAAGGCAGGAGGCAAGGAGAAGCCTCAGTGTTCATCTCCCTCCCTCTCTGCCTCGGGTGGCAAATTTGGCAACACCATGTCTTTCCATGATTCCAGTTTCCACCAGACAGGCCAGTCATGCTTGCAGCCACCACCAGGAAAACACCAGCACCTAGATTTTAGGAACCCAGTAACCCACGTCTTCACTTTGGCCCTTCAGTCCTAAGGATGAGGGCACCTTCCTCCTATTGCTCGTCTCTGCACTGGTCCCTCCCCCACTGGTCTGTTGCCTTCTCTGCTTCTTCATCACCTATGTAGCCAATTTCTTTCATTATATCCTTCTGTTGGAAACAGAGAAGTTTCCTTTTTTTTAGTTAAATACCAATGAAGAAACGTAATTCTATTTTATGCAGTTTAAGAGAATGTGCGAAAATGCATTTTAAAAACCTAGGGAAGACTTCTCATTGTTTAGAACAGAACGAGAGAGAAGACTCAAACACTGTGAATCAGGAAAGACAGGAGCTCAATCTTCAAGCTGTTTCCTATTCCTTTCTAATGTATATTTCCTAATGACAACCAAGGAAAGAGGATTCTTTAACTGAGAGGAGTGGCTGTGCTTTTCATTCAATGTGCTACTTTGGGACTATTTGCTTTTTTTCCAGGAAAAGCTATACTCAGAACCAGTTTCAATTGAAACCCAGGAAAAGCACATAAATGGCACATACTTCCTGACTGAAATTGAAGAAAACCAGGTCTTAGCGCGCCCAGCAGTTTCCTACCTGAGACACACAGTCTTGGATGAGTTGATGATCTTTATGGACGGTGTTACCCTCATATACTAACAAAAATAGTAAGACCTCATCTATGCAAACAGAGACTGGAACTCTAAAGTCACATGCACTAAATGTGTGGTTCTTCCCAACGCTCTGTCCAAGCTGAGGTGAGCCGGGCACACCTGCAGGCCAAGAAAGCCACAGTGTGGGAGGAGACTGCAGAGGCATAAGACAAATCAACTCTACAAAGAGTGACTTGATCCCTAGAGTGAGTAAAGGAATAAACCAGTCACTATTATCTGAAGGTTGACTCAGGGCCTTTGGATAATAAACAGAATCAAACATGCTACTTATAGTTGTAAAAATGACAATGTCATTGAAAGGAAGACACTGACTCAACAAGCCTGTTTTCTTCACCCCATTGATACAGTCCTGCCCAACTAGCCTTTATCTTTCCTTTAGCTTCAGGCCAGTAATTGCTGGGCAAATATATCTTATGCCTTCCTAGGGGGCTTAGTATTATGACATTTTCTTCCCCTTTTCTTCAAGTCTTTAGGATCAGTCTCCTCAACAGTTGGGATCTTTAGAAAGGTAAGTAGGACATTTTAAAACAGCAGTATCTAGGCCTATAAACCCTAGTGTGAAAATTAATGTCATCAGTTTTTACCCATTTATATAACAAGAATGAGGTTGGTTCCACATAATCCCCTAAGTGTTTTGAGAGTGATGAGAGTCATCTGGCATTTTCATACATTATCATTTATTACTCATCCTCTGTCTTCAGCTTCTAAGGAATGTTAAAAAAGTATTTCAACATCTATAGCAGAGACACTGTTCATGCCCTGTCCACATCACCACATCTGGGCCATTTCAGCGGACATCAGCCCAACATCAACTATCGGAACTTGCCTTTTTCTGCCTGTGGGTTTTTGTTTTTGTTTTTTAACCCTGGAACCTGCTTTTCCCACCCTTATGCCAGGGACATTCACAGAATGTCAGAACAACCAGGGAATTCACAGCCTCCAAGAACCGTCCTCACCGTCTTTCTGGGGTGGCGTCTCTCTGAGAAGTGCATGTAAAGCCCCCGATGGGCTCAGAACTAGCCGGCTCTGGTGGCGCTTTGCGTGGCAGAGCACGCGCTCCAGTGTCTGCGGCCATCAGGCTGTGTCACTGCCCACCCCCCCCCACCCCCCCCCAGTGCTCCCTTAACGCACAAACGACTGTTCACACTCAAAACCTCGTCTCAAGGGCTGCTTCTAGAGGCATCCAAACTGAGACAAAACCAAATTATTTCTCAACCCTCTGGGGGAAATCAGCCAATCCCACCAAGGCGAAACAGCCTCCTGCACATTTTCTAGGGGAGAACCAAGGAACAGATGCTTCTTCCGATAAAGCTGCAGTGACTCATGGAGAAACAATCACAGCAACACTTCACCTTTCAGAGCTCTGCTTCCCCGCATTTCAGCATGCCTGACTTACCGAATCAAGGCACGTTTGGGTGCAGCGACGTAAAAAAGCTGCACGCTTAAAATTAAGATGAGAGAGTGCCCAGAAATTAGGGCCATGGATATCCCCCCATTGCAATTATAACCGGCCATGCTCACTTACTGATACGCTTTGCTTCTTCATTTATTAGTTTGCCTTTTAAGATGCCAGAGAATTATTAAAAGATTATATCCTTTCCCATCCACTATGATGATGCTATTTCTGTTTCTCTGACTATAGAGAACTAAAGTAAAAATTATATGCAAATGCGTGCCAATTTAGCTTACGTTTTAGAATCTCAAGTAGTGAGCAGTGAAATGGTTGTGATAAAAGCTTATTTATTCTTTCTGACTCATGGCATCATGTTGCTGTTTTCAGGGGTAAATATGTTATCCTTCCAAATACAGTTTTGCTGCTGATTTTAATAGACTTTACACAAAGTATACTGACTTCCAAAAATAGGCGTGTGTGTGTGTCTAGACTACTTCCATTGTTAGCCTCTACCTTTTTCCATTACTTACTGCCACTGATGGAGTTCAAGGTGGGTCACCACAGAATATGGCACTTTGGCATATTGATTATTTTGAATTAAAGTTACTTGAGAAACAGCTGGTGCAAGAAAGACACTCTGACCCTCCTCTCTTTTCCCCTTAAAGCAGGAAATAAGTCTCCCATGTGAAAGATACCCTCTCTGCACCAGGAGGTAAAGAGACAACTTAATCACCAGAAATAGGAAATTCAGGGCCGCGAAGCATACATAAACAAACTTTGCTTAGTTTCTTCACTAATTCGTATTCAAGCCTAAGTTTCTTTGTCATATCATTTCTTCACAAATGTATAGTTTATTTGTCTTAAAGGTATAAAATCTGCCTGCTTGGGTCATTTCTTTGGGTCTCAAATTCTTATGGGGCCCTCTGTACATACAAATTAAATTTGGTTTTCTCCTGTTAATCTGCCCTATGTTAATTTACTTATTAGACCACCCAAAAGAACCAAGAGGGGTAGAAGGAAATTTTCCTCTCCCTGACACCATCTTCATATGACAGGCCATAATGCAGTACCATAAAGACTAGTGACGTCTTGTAAATGAACTACTTTCCTTTTGAGTTCAGATTGTACTAAGTTTAGGCAACTAAAAAGAAATAAAATGTGAACTTATTGAGAGAAACAGTTAATAATCAATTTCCCTTACTTTTGGCAAAATGTAAGAAAGCTCTGAATTAGGAAAGCATTATTTGGTTGAAAAAAATTGCAAAGATGGTAAATTGGTGTTTCCATAGCTTTCATTGTCTGAAATCCTCATTGTTCAAAGGGAGAAACTACATCATTTCTTTACATGCGTGCCATGGACTTGAAGACAAGTACCGACACACCGTCTGTGAGTTATCAAAGTCAAAAGGACATTGTCATGAGGGAAAAATAAAGACAACCAGGGACCTTTAAAGGCATTTGGCCACTCTGCTGTCCTCTATTAAATAGTGTTTTTATAGACTCAGAAAATTATTAAGGAAGCAGAGGCATAGAACCTGGGGTGAAACCAGAAAATAGGCACATTATAATAACAAGGTGAAGAGAAAAAGATTCCGCTGTCACAGAGACCCTCACATTGCTTAATTTCAATTTAAGGGGTTACTTAAATGCATGACCTATGGAAATTTAATGATATGTTATGATTCATCTGAACTTGTCAGTTGGCCCCAAGCTGCAATAATCAACTTTTCAATGTCAGATTCATTTACTCCTCGAAGAATCCTGAAATAGCCGTTCTCTCCCCAGGACTTTCCCCAGGAATTGGCAGCAATCTGCAAGGGAATAAAAAATGAGAAAAGCTGTGTATCACACTTGGATATTTTTTAATTCTGCCTGTGAAAACACAGGGAAGTCATATACAGCTTTAAATGCCCTTGGTTTATAGACTGTAATTACTAAGAACCTAAACATTTTCTAAAAAGAACACAAGTTGTATTAATCAGTTTCATAAACATGCATGTACTTATGTTTGCAATAACAAGAATTGGTGGGACACCTTTGAGTCCCCCAACATACAGTGGCAACATATGCATGACAGTTTGAAAAGTCACATCAGGGGATGACACAGAAGCTGCAGTTATGGAGTGTCCACCACATGCCTGGACCTATGTTAGACACTGGAAGAGCAAAAATTACACATTTATTACCCTGTGTTTAGGATCTTTTGGTCCACTGAAACATGACCAATGTAAGGCAAGTGCTAAGGTGTAAATAGGCACAGGGTGCTACTGAGGTCAGCGGAGGGGCATCTCTTAGTTGGATGATTCAGGGAAGATGCCATGGAGAAAGTGCCACTTGAGATACACAGTAAGCCTGGGAATAAATTAATCAGATAAAAAAAGAGAAAAGGAGATTCAGGTGAAGGGAAACTATAAAAACATAAACACCAAAGCATGTACCAGTCTGAAGCAGTGAAATGAAACAATGAAATTGTTATAATTAGATCATAAAACAGAAGCAAGTAGGTAGGTTATGAGGCTGAAAGGGGTGGTAAGGAAATACACACTGAGAAAATAATGGTGAAAATGACAAATTGTTGAGTTGTTCTAGCAGGAGAGCAAGGTGGTCAAGTTTATATTTTAATTACATTATTCTGTATGAAATGAGATGGATAGATTTCAGAGAGTAGGCATAATAGGCAGGGAAACTACCTAGTAAACTTAAATAATCAAGTTGAATGACAATGGGGGCAGGGAAACCAGGGAGAGAAATTATGTGAGAAAAAATTTAGAAAGGAAAACCAGTAGGAATCAGAAATTTTTTTCTTAAAATATAAGGATGATTAAAAAGTTGGGACAGGTCCAGAATATCTCCTAGATTTAGAGCTTGAGTGAATATATAGGGAACAAAAACAGTATTGGTATATATAGGAAATATTATGAAGGCCAAAAGATGCACAGAAGGGAGTTAGTTGACTACAGTTAAATGCAACAGAATATATACCCAGAGATATATTTGCTAGATAATATGGCAGCTCTATTTTAATTCTCCGAGGGACCTCTATACTGTTTCCCATAGTAGCTGCAACATTTTACACTCCCACCAGCAGTGCCTAAGGGTTCCCTTTTCTCTACAGACTCACCAAGACTTGTTTCTTATATTTTTCATAATAGCCATTATAACAGGTGGGAGGTAAATCTCTTTGTGGTTTTTATTTGTATTTACTTGATGATTAGTGATGTTGAGCACTTTCGCATCTATCTGTTGGTCATTTGTATTATTTCTTTGTGAAAATGTTTATTCAAGTCCTTTGCCCAGTTTTTAATTGGATTGTTTGGAGGTTTTTTTGCTGTTAAGTTGCATGAGTTCTTTATATATTTTGGGTATTAGCCCCTTATCACATATATGTTTTGGAAATATTTTCTCCTGTTCCATGGTTGTCTTCTTATTTTGCTGCTTTTCTTGCTGTGCGGAAGCCTTTAGTCTGATGTAGTCCCACTTGTTGATTTTTGCTTTTGTTCCTTGTATTTTTGGCGTCAGATCCAAATGATTTTTGCCAAGACCAATTATAAGGAGATTTTCCCCTGTTTTCTTCCAATACCTTTAAAATTTCCAGTCTTCCATTTAAGTCTTTAATCCATTTTGAGTTAATTTTTGTGAGTGGTATAAGATAGGGATCCAATTTTATTCTTCTGCATGTAGTTTTACAGTTGTTTTCAACATTATTGAAAAGACTGTCCTTTCTCCATTGCACCTTCTTGGCTCCCTTGTCACATATTAGTTGACTGAATATGACTGGGTATATATATGGGCTTTCAATTATGTTCTATTGATATGTATGTCTATTTTTATACTAGTACCATATGGTTTTGATTGCTGTAGCTCTGTAATAAAGTTTGAAATCAGGAATTGTGATGTCTCTAGCTTTGCATATAAGTATTCATAGTAGTCTCTTATGGGTTTTGTATTTCTCTTGTATCACTTGTAAGCTCCTCTTAAATTTCTGATTTTTATTTATTTGTGTCTTCTCTTTTTTCTTCAGCCAAGGGTTTGCCAATTTTTTTAATCCTTTCCAAAAAGCAGCTCTTAGTTTTGTTCATATTTTCTATCATTTTTCTGGCCTCTATTTAATTTTTACTATTCTGATCTATATTATTTCCTTCCTCTGCTAGCTTTGGGCTTAGTTTATTCTTCTTTTTATAGTTCCTTCAGGTATAACATTAGGTTATTAATTTGTGATCTTTCTTTAATATATTAATTATATATTAATTAATATAAAGTTCCCTCTTAAAACTGATTTTACTACATCTCTTAAGCTTTGACAGGTTGTTTACATTTTCATTTGTTTCAAGAAATTTACTGATTTCCTTTTTGACTTATTTTATTCATTGGTTATTCAGGAGTGTGTTGTTTCAGTTCTACACATTTTTGAATTTTCAAGTTTTCCTCTTGCTATTATTGATTTTTAGCGTCATACCACTGCTGCCAGAAGAGATACGAGGTATGATTTCAGTGTTCTTATATTTGTTAAGGCTTGTTTTGTGACTTAATATATGATCATCCTGGAGAATGCTCCATGGGTGCTTGAGAAGAATGTGTAGTCTGCTGCTCTTGGGTAGAATATTCTGTATAAGTCTGTTAGGTCCATTTGGTATAATGTATATTCAAGTCCATATTTTCCTTATTAAATTTCTGTCTGAATGATCTATCCATTGTTGATAATGGGGTATTAAAGTCCCCTATTGTTACTGTGCTTTGTTACTGTGCTGTTTCTATTTCTTCCTTCAGATCTACTAGTATTTGCTTAATACATGTAGGTATACACACACATATATATGTATATATACACACACACACACAATTGTTAAATCCTCTTGATTAATTGACCCTTTTTCATTATATAATGATCTTTTTCTCTTGTTACAACTTTTTTTACTTAAAGTCTCTTTTGTCTGATAGAAGTACAGTTACCCTGCTCTCTTTTGTTTTCCATTTGCATGAAATATCTTTCTCCATCCCTTCAGTTTGAGCCTGCATGTGTCCTTAAAGTTAGAGTAAAGCTGTCTCTTGTAGGCAGCATATAATTGGGTCAGGTTTTTAATCCATTCAGCTACTCTATGCCCTTTGATTGAAGAATTTAGTCCATTTACATTTGGAGTAATTATAGATAGTAACTCACTAAGGTCATCTTATTATATTCTGGAGTTTTTTCAGTGACCTATTTCTTTTTCCATCTTTTGTTGTCTTTCTTTGTGGGTGATGATTTTTCACAGCGGTATGCTTGGATTTCCTTCTCTTTATCTTTTAAAAATCTACTATAGGTTTTTTTCTTTGTGGTTATCATGGGGGTTACCTAAAACACATTACAGATGTAAGTCTGTTTTATGTTGATAACAACTTAACTTTGATCACACAAAACTCCATCTTTTCATCCCCCTACTTTTTAATGTTGAAATTCACTTCTTTACATATTGACTCTGTGCCCTCTTAATTAGCCCTGACACCTTAAAGGAACATTTTCAAAACTCTCTAACCTTGTGGCTTCACTTTACAACTTGAATATTTTTTATCCTTTGAATTGAGATATATAATATAGTCACATGTATAACATATATTAATCTTAAGTACACAGTTTAGTAAATTTACACATGGGCTTATGTTCTACATTGTATTTTCAATATTTTTAGTTTTAGCCAATCTAGTGAATATGTAGTGGTATCTTACTGTGGTTTTAATTTGCATTTGTGGACAACTAATCCTGTTGACTACCTTTCCATGTGTTTTTTGGCCATTTTCCAAAAAACAAATTATTTTTGCATGTATTCTAAGAGTTGGGATCAAAATTCAAGGGTTGTTTTTTTTTTGGATATAAAATCAATGTAGCTTAGACATTGGCAAACTAAGGTTCATGGACAAATCTAGAAAGCAGCATTTTGGTACAGTTCTTCAGGTGAGTTTGTTTTTCCTTAGTTGTAAAAAAAAGGTTTAAATAGAATATATGATAGAGATTTTATACAACCCTCAAAATCTAAAATATTTACTATCGGGCCCTGTACAGAAAATTAATGTTAACCCCTCCTGAAACAGTTTAGTAAAAAGGCTCCCCTTTCTCAGTTGAAACAAAAATACCATACTATCCAGCAATTCCATTTCTAGGAATTTATCCAAAGAAAAAAAAATCACTAATTCAAAAGGACATATACACTCTCATGTTTATTGCAGCATGATATAAATAGTCAAAATATGGAAGCAACCTAAAAGTCCATTGATAAATAAATGGATAAAAATGACATGGTAAATATACACAATGGAACCTCATTCAGTCATTATGAAAATTTCCCTTTTGTAACAACATGGATGGACTTATAAGGTATTATGTTAAGTGAAATAAGTCAGAGAAAGGAAAATACCATATGATTTCATTTATATGTAGTATCTAAAAAACAAAATGAACAAACAAAACAGAAATAGACTCATAAACACAGGACAGACTGGTGGTTGCTGTGGAGAGGGTGGTGGAGGGATGGGTGAAATAGATGAAAGAGAAAAAAATTAATGAGAATGTTTGATATCTTTATCTGGATGGGTCCATAAGCATATACACACGTCAAAATTCATCAAGCCATTCACAAAGATTTGTGCATTTTATGGTATGTATTGCAATATAAATATATTTTATTTTATTTTTAAAAATTCAGTGGTCTCTCTGTTGTAAAACAAACTATATTATGTGCACTAAGTCTGGTTTATGTATTTTGTGATAGCCCATTTCTCTATTCTGGTGTTAATAAAATGCCACCTTTTTTTTCCAGTTTTATTGAGATATGATTGA